CTTTTAGTATTATACATTACTCAATTTATTAATTTAAAAGCAAATATTAAAAAAACACAGATAAACATCGATTTTTGTGTGTTACGTGGTATGTTGAATGCAGCACTGGTTCAAATAAGATGTTTGTGAAGTCAAAATACAATGTCTATAGTTTCGAACAAATTAGAAAGTCATATTAAAGAAAATAGCTCTCTTTTACTAACTTTTGTATAATGACACTGAATATTTCATATTCTAATTTCAACAAGAAAGCCAAATATAATACATACCGTTTTAGAATCTTTGGCAATGCATTTATTTCCTAGATTGTCAACTAGACGTCGCACCAATCGTTGCACTTCTGGTACACTACCACAGTCATTATGGGACCGACAGAAAGTATGAGCGAGGGAAGACACGTCTAGGATGGCTTGGCTATAGCTCCCGTCAATAATATGCTAAAAATAAGGACAAAGAACAGTAATATAATACTCCCGGTATTGCATGTCTTATGGGACTACTTTTTCACCCGACTCTAACATTTGGTGTACGAATATCAATAATGAAAACAAAGTTTAGTGTAATAGTTAATAATTGCAGCTAAAATATTTTATATGAGTGATAAGATATGGTAATGTATACATGAAGACATAAGCGCTTCATTGCATGGCTCTGTTTGTTAAAGTGATTGTCGTGAATTTGAGGTTATTTTTTTAAGATAACTATCATTAGATTTAATAAAATAGATGGAAGATTGAAGTTTTATCTCTGGTAAGTAAAGTAAAATAAAAACAACTTACGACGAGTTCTCCAATCATTTCAGCTGTCGGTTTCGCTACAAAAGCCATGGAAGACAGCCACGTGTCAGCTTCAGAGACGGAAATCTCTTTCTTGGTGATGAGTTCCCTAATCAGACGAATTGAGGCTGTGGATCCAACCACGGGGATAGCATCCATAATGAACTGCCTAGTGATCAGATAAATAAAAAGCGCGTTTTCGAACTTACTCTTTATAATTCTGCATTCATTAACAACACAACCTTTATTCAATGTGCTTATTTCACGAAATAATTTTACTAAGAAAATCTCCAATGTGTATGCTGTTAATATGAACTTATATTTCAGGAATTAACCCCAACGGGAAAAAGAGGAAGAAAACACCCAAACTAAAAATAATATTTTCTGAAGATTTAGAAAACAAATCTTAAATGCAATAGTTAAAAAAGTGAATGATTTTAAGTGTTTTCGTTTTTATTTTAACGTCTACATTGTTTTAAATAGTTTGTCAATTTACTATTATATTAGCACAATGTGCGTCCATACACGAGCATCTATATTGTTTTTTACCCGAGTCTAAAAGAAATTACATTAAAATAACTTCAGGAGCTGGTCATTGTAGAGTAAAATTCTCAATACAGCATATTTCATTTTTAGCACCAATTAATGCCGTGGATGGAAACTTAATTAGATCCTACAGCTTCAGTAAGGACTTTTTTCTTTACATTGCAAAGTGTACAAGACTGACCTGGAATTTTTGTTTCCACTACAAATGCTGTCAGCACGCTGATAGATAGAATAAAGAGACTGATAATCAAGTTCGCGGAGTTTATACACCAGGTGAGCGAATTTGGCGGGAACAGATGGGCGAATGTCATTCTTAGCTGCTTCGCAAATATCAACCAGCGTTTGTTCTGCTTCTCGTCCCTTCATGTGATTGGTTGGTTCAGAGTAACTGTGGTCGAACAGGAGGTCATGATGGGTAGGTCGGTAATCTGTGACATAAAATGATAGAGATGGTTAAGAGATCGTTAGTCTGTGTGACATTGGAGAGCAATAAAACTGATAATATTTGTAACATTATATACTGGTTGGTGTGATTTGTCAGTTTGTTACCTCATCTGTCCAGTTTACAAGAATTGTCAGTTTGTATTACACCATCAATCTGGTTGGTGTGATTTGTCAGTTTGTTATCTCATCTGTCCAGTTGACAAGAATTGTCAGTTTGTATTACACCATCAATCTGGTTGGCGTGGTTTGTCAGTTTCTTACCTCAACTGTCCAGTTGGCAAGAATTGTCAGTTTGTATTACACCATCAATCTGGTTGGCGTGGTTTGTCAGTTTCTTACCTCATCTGTCCAGTTGGTAAGAATTGTCAGTTTGTATTACACCATCAATCTGGTTGGCGTGGTTTGTCAGTTTCTTACACCATTTGTACAGTTGACAAGAACTGTCAGTTTGTATTACACCATCAATCTGGTTGGCAGGATTTGACAGTTTCTTACACCATCTGTCCAGTTGGTAAGAATTGTCAGTTTGTATTACACCATCAATCTGGTTGGCGTGATTTGTCAGTTTCTTACCTCATCTGCCCAGTTGGCAAGATTTGTTACATTACCCATCTGGATGGCAGGGTTTGACATCTGCCCAATATTTACTAATTTATATTCTAAAGCCATCATCGACTGCAAGTATAATATATTATCAATTTTATCGGCAAACAAATAATAGTTTCTAGAAACAATTCTCTTTGCAATAATTCATGACTCAGCCCTCACAGTTTTTTTGGCTTAGATAATCATATCACAATAGATAACCTGGACCACTTGACTCATTTCTCTTTAAGGACGTACTCTACAGTGTTTATTTTTCACTGACTTTATCAATAATAGTGGAAACTTCTTCCATAAAAAACAGTAAACAAAAAGTTTGTTAACAATTATTATCAGACTTATTGTGACGTAATATGACACAAGCAATCGATCTGCAAAACAGGCTTCGTCTACATAAGGTGTTGTATATCACAATAAACAGTTTCAGTGAACCTCTAGTGAGCTATTCACAGACTAACACATTTTCAATAATTTGATAGAACGGTTCGATGAAATATAGAAATTTCTGATGTTAGTAACTTTAAACCAACTTCGAAACTTGTAAAATAACGGTATTGAAAAAAGGACCACAAGTATTTTGACGTTGAAACCAATATTTTGTAAATTTCGAAACTTTTAAAATGTCTATGCTCTGCTTTGACAACGAATAAAAAATTTATATAATAAAACAATAACACTGAGCCCTCTTTAAAAGTTTTTGAAGTTTGCAAACAGGGCTGCATAATGGGGAAAAAACTGTAAATACTTTATTTGCTACGTCTGCTTTTCACAATTACTTTTCAGAATAAGTCAAGATAAAAATAAGACTAAAAAACTAAAGCGTTTGTTTATTAACAGAAATATGAAGCTCTGTTTTAGTATTTGAATATGGGACTTGCCATTGCCAGTAAAAGACCCTTGACGTTCACTGTTAAAGGTAAGTGTCTGGACGGATTTTGTAACGGCACTCTTGTCATGGTTGGAGAAAGGTTTGAAGACGTGCAACTCTGTACATTCGACCGAGTACAGTCTGTCGTTGCTGAAGGACTGTTCACAGTTCTGGGTGCCTTTCAGTAAAGGAAGAGACTTCTTTGGCTGTAGAGAGATAACAAAGCTTAGTTATAAGCTGACTGTAGAACGACAGGGAAGTTTGTTTATTATCTGGCTGACAGGAATAGCAAAGTTTAGTTATAACTTGGCTGTAGAGAGATAACAAAGCTTAGTTATAAGCTGACTGTAGAACGACAGGGAAGTTTGTTTATTATCTGGCTGACAGGAATAGCAAAGTTTAGTTATAACTTGGCTGTAGAGAGATGACAAAGCTTAGTTATAAGCTGGCTGTAGAAAGATGGTAAGGTTTTTAATTTGGCTCTAAAAAGATAACAAAGCTTAGTTAAAATTTACATGTCGGAAGAAATAATATATATTACAATTAAATAAGAATAGAGGCATGAAGAGTATTAAGTCATAATTAGGAGTTTTATTTTTGTTGTATGTGTGTACGTATATAGTAAAAGGAGTTACAAACCATTACATGTTCTTTCATTGATTCAGGTGGTCAACATATGTGCTGAATACTATAGCCTACAGGTAAGTGTGTGATATTACTATAAGTGTAACTTAAACAACACTATAAGGCTTATTCTGAAGCATTCATTATAACTATCATCATTAGAATCTGGTATATTTTACCACTGTTTAAAATGCGATAATTCCGACAAATGTAATAATATCTAAGTTAAAGTTCTGGTAACAAAACTTACAATATCTGAGCTGTACGGTGTGGTTTGCATTGCGCTATCACTTCTCTCCCGATTAACACACGTTACCAGATTTTTATGTTTCTTTACGTTGACTTTGGACCATCCACGCCCCATCGCCATGTATTCGACTTCACACTTACCGGCGACATCAGTCTATGAAAAGGAAACAAATAAAATGTTAAATTTTTTTTACACATTTAGACTAAAAAATTCTTTAAGGCATTTATCTGAATCAGACATTCATGACTTCACTTGAATGAAGGAATTCCATTACACGCAAGTACTTTTAAACGTTCTTCGTCAAACTTTACAAAACCTCACACGTCTCTTTCTTCTTCTGTTTAAAATGATCCGTTTTTGTGAAAACATCTTAAGTTAGTTCCTTATCAAGAAAACGTTTAAAGTTTCTTTATTTCTTTCTCCAATAGTTTTCGTAAACTACTTTCTTGTCCAATGTGGTACAAAATCTCTCCATATTTAGCATAGCAGAAATTGTTTTTTTAATATTTTTGGGATATTATTCATTATTTCTATCCAGTTCATCAAATTAACCCTATCACAACCGAAACTATGAAATAATCTATATTGAGGAAACTATAGAAAATTTATTTTAATCGAAGTTTTACTCATCATATTTTATTCTAAAATTTAACTTTCTCTGAACGAGCAAAAAAAAAAAAAAAAATGGGGAATTTCCCCCGGGAGTGATAAAAATATTTTAACATTTATATTGGATAGGAAGAGTAAGATTTATGTTATAATTACATCTATGATAAAAATAGAAATTCAATTATCAGTATAAAACGATTAAAGATTTTAAAACATTGTACAACTTTAAAAATTTGGGCTCGATACTCGCGGTTTACGCAACGCATGTAATCCGTTGTGTAGTTTTACACTTAGTAATAAAACAAGCAAACAAAATCTTTGTAAAAGTCATAGCCACAAATCATTGAAGTTGTAATGTTTGGCATAAAAGTTTAGCCCCTGTGCAGTTCAGCGGCAGAGCTGAGGATTCGTAACTCCAAAAATAGGGTTTCGATACTCATGATGAGCATAATACTGAGAGTCTATTTTGTAGCCTTGTGTTTAACAACAAAAAAAATAAAAAATAACACACACACACACACACAAACTAATAAATTCTTAATTATTCAACACGGTATATCAGAATGGTTTAAATTCATTTATTGCCTTACTTCTGTAGTGTTTTCACTGGTGAAAAGATCTTTCATAGAGGTCTGGAAGGCAGATAGCACTCCCCTCTTGATGTTCAGTACCCACGTGGGCTCGTTCTCAGTGGGACACAGAGTGTCTATAGTGCCGTCTTGGAATGAAAAGCGTAGAGTGTTCTGTTCTAGTTCTCTTCTGAAGTCGGCAGTCCCAGCAGCTATACGGCGATAACCTGGGTTTCTTGGGTCGGACTGTTCCAAGCTAACCCGTCGAAGCTGATGGAGTAAAATGATTAAACATGAGAATAAATATTACCTTTCTCCACAATGACGTTTCCTCTCAGCACACCTTTAGTTCAAGAGTTTTGTATAACTTTTTTGACATCAGTTTACTGAAAACTTTTAAACAAAATGAGGTTCTATGAAAATAATTATAACTGACACAGTGGTATGTCTGCGGGCTTACAACGCTAAAAACCGGGCTTCGATACCCGGGGTGGGCAGAGTACAGATAGTCCATTGTGTGGCTTTGTGCTTAACTTCAAACAAACAAACTCTGAAAATAATTATGATTCTTTTGTTGTTTTCTGAGCAGACAGAAGAAAGGAAATGACGTGATTTTACTATAGCGAACAGGAAGTGACGTTAGTTCACTGTTAAATCTATAAGAACTGGTAAGACCTTATTAACATACTTCACAGCAGTCGCCCATTTTTTAAAAAGAATAATATACTTTAAAAGCTTTTATTGTAATATGAAACTTATTGATTTTCAATGTATACCAACCTTTTTTTAACATAAGAGCCTGAGAACACGAGAACTTACAATAAATTTTCAAATTAGTTGATAAGGATTTAACTTAGGGATACTGAAATTTCACAAATAAATACATTTTAAAGTTGAAAGATACTTTGATATTTAATTAATTTTTCAATTTCATTTTTAATATCAAACACTGTAAATACACAACATTTAATTTTGTTTTCAAATATCTTACGAAAAAACATTAAACATTAAAATAAGTCGTTCAGCAAAGGAATGAAGTGCACTGTGGAAGAAACTGATCAGTTATCAGTGATAACCATGATGTGAACTGAAATACACATAGGAACAATTGAAGGGCGAATGAAAGCTGACTCCTAAGAATGAAAACTAAATCCCAAACATACATGTATGAATACACTATACCTGAAGAGACAGGTCACACTTAGACAAAGCCTCGATTTCAACCTGCGCCTTGATATACAGCTGAGACTCTTCACTGGCTGTTCCTTGCAAGGTCGTTACCGTGTGGGATTCGTAGTCGTAGACATAAGTTCTACCTTGGTCGTACTTGAACTTGTTGCCCTCTGAGATAAAGCAGGTGAACAAGCGAGTAATTATAAAGAGATTAACAAATTAAGGTTACTCGTAGTTTCAAAGATGTAGACTGAATTTAATGTAAGTGTTTTTCAGTTGATTGTTTTTACTATTAATCGTCAATGCTATCACCCATTTATAAATTCTTGCTATCACATAGTGAATCTAATACAAATAGCTTTACTGTGTACTATTAAATTAACACGTTTAGGCTATAAGTATAAGCTCTATGAAACTAAACTTACCAGTACAATGCCTAGCACATTGTCCGCCGGTAGGATCCAGTGGAACTATAAGCAAAAGATAGTGGGAGAGGATGAATGTTTATTAGAATCAATTATAAAGATAAGATATAAATGCAAGGAATAATTATATGTGTAATGGAAAAGGAACTCCGTAGATGCTTCATCTCATTAGATACCGTCAAGTTCAATAAAACATGTATTGAAATTTTACAAAATGTACAATTTTCTAACTGTTAAATATTAATTACAGTTGATTGATATTCAAAGGTTTTCAGCGAAAGTTTAACCTCTATGTTTACCTAAAGTTGAAACTGCGTATAATAATTGCTGAAACATAACGTGACGTCTTTTTAACATCAGAACGGTGAAGAGAAATATTTTCGTTTAAAAACAATTCTTCATTTAAATGAGAAAGATTTAAATCAGTTAATTATTATTACCGATCTTTTACGATATCAAAACTCAACTAATATTATTGTGTCTGAACTTATAACTGTAAGTGTTTACAACGAACTAAAAGCTCGGCAACAAGGAAACAGAAATTATTTTAAGTTAAGGAGTGTGACGTCAATAAATTTCCGTTGATCAGTCCGAATCAACCCGTTTTTTGCTTGATTTTCCCCAAGATTATATAGAACAACTTATGAGCAAAAACGATTCCAGACAATGTTTTTTACACGTATTTATAACACAAAATCGAGTTCTGTTAAGAGAACTTGGAGAATAGGCCAGTGAATTATTAACTTATGATGAACTCGTACAAAGAACGATTAATCTATGGTGAACTTAGCAAGTTTCTGGAAGGAAAGATTAGCTTATGTTGAATCTAATAAGTTTGTTTGCTGTGAATTTCGCGCAAAGCTACACGAAGGCTATCTGCGCTAGCCGTCCCTAATTTAGCAATGTAAGACTAGAGGGAAGGCAGCTAGTCATCACCACCCACCGCCAACTCTTGGGCTACTCTTTTACCAGCGAATAGTGGGATTGAACATCACATTGTAACGCCCCCACGGCTGAAAGGGCGAGCATGTTTCGCAGATTGCGAGTCGAGCGCCCTAACCATCTGGCCTAACCCTAACCACACTAATAAGTTAATGCTCAGAATAAGTACTTTATTATACTCATTATCTTTACTTTCAATTTGTATAAAGTTACTGCAAGTCCGAAAGTTGAAAGAAAAAATATATATATTTGAAAGCAGTTAGCTTGTATACAACTACGTACTTCAAGAGGATTAAATATGTTATGCAGATAGGATATGAAAATCAGAACTTTAAAAACAATAACATAAATACGATTAATATTCTTGACCAAAATCACTTTAAACTGCACATCTTTGTTGTTGTTGTTTTATGCGTTTCTGTTAATTATTACATTTAGAATTTTACATCTGAGGTTTACAACACAAAGCAGCCTACCGTGATTTTATAACAAATGTTAGGTTTCGTTTATCCACTGCTTCGCCCTACGCGATAACAGAAGCACATAAAGAAACGAGAATCAACAGTTTCTTGTAAATAGTACACTATAACACAATACTGACTGTTTAATTACAGATTTATTTTATTTTCTCCAAAGGCAAAAAGGACTCAGAAATCTCGCAAGTACAAATAATTAATCGCCTTTTTTTCTTTTCAATTAGACAAACAGAATTGTTTTTTTAAGCTTAATAAAATCGATATTATGTTCTTGAAATGAAAAATACTGTACATCGTGTTATAAACATAAGCTATTCATTTACTGGAACCCCCCAGTGGCGCAGCGGTATGTCTGTGGACTTACAACGCTAACACCTGGGTTTCGAAACCCGTGGGGGGCAGAACACAAATAGCCCATCGTGTAGCTTTGTACATAATTAAAAACAAACAAACATTTACTTAAATAACAAAAACTAAATTTTCAGTTGCATAATAAAAAAAGGATGGTTTAAAACACTATAACAGCATTCAGTTACGTAATATTATGATTAATAATTTGTATATATATTTAAATATATTCAAAATAAGTTAAAATTATCCCTTAAGACAGGGTTTTCCAAACTCCTGTCACCCACGCCCTCCTTTAATAAATACGGTTTCTTGTGCGTCCCCATATTTTTTTAAGTGAGCGAAAGATTGAGTTAAGTGACGAGATATAATACACAGATACACATTAAAATACTACGTGTTGTATTAGTTACTTATTATTTCCATTAGTAGAAAAATGTACTTAAACGCATAATTTTGGATTATTGCACTATTGACAATACCCTAATCGCTCGCGCTCCCTTAGAGGCTCAAATGAGCCTCTTGGAGGGCCGCGCCCCACACTTTGGGAAGCGCTGCCTTAAGAAATTGCATAATTAATACTTGGTATTATCAAAATTATAATATTACAATTGTTTCTTTATAAAAAATAATAATTATTAGCACCGAATATATATAAAGATAGTAACTTTTTACCTCTGTTGTAATTCCACATTCATTATTTTATTGTCCAAAGACTCACCTGCAACTGCACTTGCCACGAAGGCGATAGCTAGAAGAAAAGACTTCATGGCCGCAATTTTAAAAGCGGCTCACTTGGCTTAGTTCTCCGTAACAATGTACGTATCGTCTTCTTTTCGTCCTTTTATACCATTCAGGATGTCCAGAGTCCGCTTGAAAGCAGTGACAATGGTCAGATCGATAAGATAGACGACATAAACTCACACACACACAAACACAAAAAAAAAACCCTCTGTGACGCAGAACGTGATTTGAGGGTTCAAAAAGCAGAAAATACCTTGTTTGGAAACTGATGTCATTATCAGACATAACTAATGAAACCTTCAACTAGGTTTTGGTTTCGCTATTCGTGAATAGTTATCGATGTAATCGCTTTTATTTTATATCTACGTTCGCTTGTGTTCTTGGTGGTCTCTAGGTGTAACTACAGACCCTTGATGGTGAACAACAGGACGACGGCAGCAACAACGAACATTTGACACGTGTGTGTTCAGTAACAAACATTTAATTCTTGAACGTTTCGGAATATACATATTCCATCTTCAGCAAGCTATATTGAATATGGTAAATTATTAAGTACAGGCATTTTATAAAGTTTAAACATTCTATAAAAGTAATTAAAATACAGAATAAAAGGATGAAATAAATTAAAAGACAATCAAATAAACAGAGAACAGAATAATGCAACAATATATTATACAAGTTATTTAGAACAGGCTTAATTGTAGTGAAGTTCTGTTATTATTTAAAGTTGGGAGTTCATTTATAATAGATAACCTTCCTTTAATTAAAAGTTCAATATTGGAGGATCCAGATGAAATGACTTTGATATTCGTAATCAAGACTGGGTGGTTGGTGTTTTCACCATGTGTGCGAATTGTGGAGACTGGTGGATTTGATAGTTTTTTTACCAGTTCTGCTGGATA